CCTTCCGAAACATCGCCAAATCCGGAACCACTGCAACCAGTGCTACCACTTCCGGATTGGGGGGCAGACTGGCGGATACCCATCAGAGAGTACATCCTTAATGGTATTCTCCCTGCGGATAAATGGGAAGCACGAAGACTAAAGGCTAAAAGTGCTCGATTTTGCATTTCAAATGATATCCTCTACAGAAGAAGCATCTCGGGTCCCGATATGATCTGTATTTTTGGCCAATAAGTTCATACTGTAATAAAAGAAATTCATGACGGGGTTTGCGGCAATCACTCCGGAGGTCGCTCTTTGGCCTTTAAGGTAAGAAGATATGGATATTTCTGGCCCACTTTAATCGCGGATTGCGAGGAATACGCTCGAAAGTGCGAACAATGTCAGAAGCATGCACCTTCGATTCACCAGCCTACAGAGCTCTTGTCATCAGTCTCTTCGCCTTATCCGTTTATGAAATGGTCTATGAACATTATTGGGCCTCTCCACGCCTCGACACGCGGAGTAAAATTTGTTCTGGTCCTAACCGATTATTTCTCGAAGTGGGTAGAAGCAGCAGCTTATGTAAACATAACTCAGGTGCAAGTTCGCAAGTTCATTTGGCAGGATATCATTTGTAGGCATGGGTTGCCGTTTGAAATCGTTACTGATAATGGACCACAGTTCATTTCGGGGCAGTTCGAATCTTTCTGCGAAGAATGGCAAATCAGACTTAGTCGGTCCACGCCTCGTTATCCGCAGGGTAACGGCCAAGCAGAAGCTATGAATAAAACTGTTTTGTCTACCTTGAAGAAGAAATTGAAAGCACACAAGGGAGCTTGGTTTAACGAGTTACAAAGCGTTCTCTGGGCAATTCGCACTACCCCCAGACGAGCAACCGGGGAAACGCCTTTTTCATTAGTATATGGAATGGAAGCCGTAATCCCCGCTGAAATATTTGTGCCAAGTCCGAGAAGGATGTACAATCCACAGAACGAGGCTGCAAATAATGATCATATGGTTGACGTGATCGATACAATCGAAGAGCGACGTGGTCGTTCGTTAATTCGGATGCAAAACTACCAGAATGCTGCGGCACGATACTACAATTCGAACGTTTGAAATCGGCACTTCGACGTCGGGACATTAGTATTACGCAAAGTTCAGCAAAATACAGCCGAAAATGGAGCAGGAAAGTTAGGCGTCAACTGGGAAGGTCCTTATCGAATTACTCAGGTAGTTCGCAACGGAGTTTATCGCCTTGAAAACATGGAAGGAAAAGTAGTCCGAAGAGCTTGGAATTCCATTCATCTGAAGAGATACTTTGTTTAAGTATTTTATTATTTTCATTATTGTAAATCGAACTACGATAGACTTGATCCCCACCTTTGGGTACGTAGGCAGCTCGGACTTCGAGTGCAGTCTCTAAATCAAATAAAATATTCACACTTTTCTAAACATCTTTTAAAAAGCCGAGAATTATCTCGCAATTCGTGAAACCGAGAGGAACCTCGTAACTACTTTCCCGAAACCGAGCTCAGACCTCTGGTAATTCTTGAAAGATAAGCCTAAGTTTTACTTAGCAAAAAAGGTCTGGTTCAACACAGACTAGGGATTTCTGCGGACTCCGAGTCCCGATCCACATCTTTTCTATTGAGAACACCTACATAACTCTCGTTCTTAATATTTCCCTTATTCATTACGTAATGAGTTCTGAGTTCGTGAAAAACTGCGTATCTCGTTGAAATCTTAAATATTTCTTAATTTTTCGTACGAGGTATTCAAATTTTTCGGAAACTCCGGATTTGTAATTCAAAAGGACTTGTTTTAAAAAAAACGGGGAAATATTCAAGTCTTCTTAAACAAAAGACAAAGCAGTAAATAGGTTCGAGTTGAAAATAAAAAAAAAACATAAAGGGGGGCACACTAGCCATCACAACCCCGAACTCATTGATCCTTCACTTCGGGATCTTGCTGCTGCTCCTCCTGCGAACTCCGAGATGCCTTGAGATCCTGATCAGCCATAAGATCTTTGTTAGAGCCAAACTCGTTTATAGCCATCTCCTCCTCAGTATAAAGGTTTTCTGGGACCGTTTCGGGAGGAGTAGCCACGAAGAGATGAGCAAATTCGTCCGGACGAGGCTTAAGGGCGTCTATCTTACGAGCTTTGGCCTCTGCTTCCGCTTCATCCTTCTTCACGGATTCGAGCTCAGCATCAATGTCCGAGATCTCCCCACTCTTGATCTCCTCGAGAAGCTCCCGGTTCGCCCTAGTTTCGGCAGCTCGGGTATTGATTGATTCATTCTCATTCAGCGCTTTGAGGTAGGTCTCGTGCTTCGAGATCAGGCCGCTGTAGTGCGCACGAAGCCTCTCCCTTTCACTCTTCTTCGCCGCGGTAATGTCTGCATCCCTTTTCTCGGCTTCTACCTTGCACCATTCTTCACTCCTTTTAATCTCGGCCTCGAGAATGTTGATCTTCTCGCAGGCCTCGAGGTACACGTTCTTAGCATTCTTCAGCTTCTCCGACAAGTCGGTGTTGGAGATTTCAAGGAGATTGCAGCGACCTTCCGCATCCAGCATTCTACCTCGGATCTCGTTGGCCTTCTCCACAGCTCGGGCATTCTCTTCTTCCATTTCCTTAAGGCTGCGGACCTTTTCCTCGAGTTCAACAACCCGAACTTTAAGGCCGTCTAGCTCGTTAACGGGAAAAAGCTGGGTCTCATGGCAGGAGAAAGTGGTGTTGTACTCGAGCATTAACTGTCGAAGTGAAGATCTGTGAGAACAAAAGCAAAAACATTGTTCTATGTGAGAGGAAAAATTCGAATTGTTACCTCTCCGAGTTTGTCTGCGAAACGAAAGTAGTTCGCTCTGTTAACTTCCTTCAGGTCGCTGAAGGGAGGAATCCTCATCCCAGCAGGAGTGAAGTTCCTCATGAAATCAGCAGGCGACTTCGGAGGACCTGCTAGGTCAAAGGACAATGATAAAAAATATCTTACAAAAAAGTACTAAGCACGAGGTTTTTACTTACCAGTAGGGATCGAAATTTCCTGACGAATAGACTCCCGGTTCTCGGAATCTCGCGAGGGGAGGACAAGGAGCTGTACTGGTGGGTTGGACTGTGGGACCTCATTGGAGGTATCTTGCTTTTCCGATCTTGACCTCGGAGTGGAGGTCCTAGCATCCCCGGAAGGACTTTCTTTATCGTTCAAACGAGAACGACTCTTCTGATGCAAAGGAGGAACCTCGGACTCCTCGTTTTTGCGCTTCCTCGACGAAGTCGCAGTAGGTCCGCCTTCTGATTGCTTCTTTTCCCGAGAAGACCGGGAGGAGCGGGAATCTGAAATCCGGATTACGTCTTTTTCTAAAGACCTCCTCTCCTGATCCCGATGATCGGAGGTCTTCATCTCGGATACCGGTACAGTGGAACCGGAACCCTTTCCTTTGCCAGTCGAGGATCTGGCTTTTCCATCTTCCAAGGCCCTTACCATCCGAGCCTTGTCTTCTTTCTCTCTAGCTTCCCTTGACCTCTCCTTTTCTTTCTGGAGCTTTTTCTCCTCGCGGTAAGACAACGGAGACATGTTTGTCGCAACTGTGGGGGAAATAGGAGGAGGAGAAGAAGTGATGAGGTCGGAACGAGAGTAGATTCGGGTGCACGAGTTTCGAATTCGTTCACAGGTAAACAGCTCCCACGCGAGGTCACTCCGGTGGCAGATGTTGATGAACTGCTCCGCGAAAGTATGAGAAAGCGGTTTCTTCGGAAGCTTAACTGTTTCAATAAATGTTTTTTGTACCTATGAATGGTTGTGTCTTTTTATCGCAACCTTTCGTTTAAATATTTACGGTTATTTTTATTCGGTTGTGTCTTTTTATCGCATCTTTTCGTTGAAATATTTACGGTTATTTTTTTACGATTGTGTCTTTTTATCGCATCTCTTCGTTAACATATTTACGGTTTTTTTAACAGTTATATTTGTTCAATTACAGTCGTATCTTTTCAGTTGACGGTTTTGTCTTCATAGCATCTATTCATTTAAAATTACATATCATATATATAGATTTAAATTTTGGTTTTCTAACTAAAATATATATTTTACGGTTGTTTTTTCAAAAGTTGCAATCTGAATAAATATTTTCTACGATTGCATCTTTTTATCGTAACACCTCATAAACAATTACGATTCTTTAGTTGAACCATTGCAACATTTACTTTATTTAACGAACAATTGTAATTTTTGATTTATTTTGTAAATCGTTAAAACATTTAATTTTATTAAAACTAAAAATATATATTTTATGGTTGAATTTTTGTAGAAAGTTGCGATCCGAATAAATATCTTCTACGGTTGCGTTTTTTTTATCGTAACTTTTCGTAAATGGTTGCAACCGTTTAGTTGAATCATTGCAACATTTAGTTTATTTCACGAACAAATGCAACTCTTGGTTTATTTTATAAACCGTTACCGTTATAAGATTTAATTAGCTACAATAACGTCTTTCTGTGTAACTTTTTATAAACTATTATTTCAATTTTCGTTACTAAAATGTATCTAAATAAAATTCTAACCGTTTAATTAAACCGTAATAGTATCACATATGTAAACAACATTCCTCAGGAATGGCTATTTTGAGCTCTAATTAATTTCGGATGACAAAAAAAAAAAAAAATTAAACTGTTGCAACATTTGGTTTATTTGACAAATTATTGCAACTTTTGGTTTTGTTTTATGAACAGTTATAATCTTTAGTTTATTTGACGAACCGTTGCAACATTTAATATATTTGACAAACGATTGCAACTTTTACTATATATGACATCTACAGTCGCGTCTTTCGGTTATATTTCTTTATCAAATTTTTAATTTTAATTACTATTTAAATGATATGTTGGTAACGTTTAATAGAACACAGTAACATTTTACATGCAAAAATATTTTTGTTAGTCTATTGCGAATAAATCACTATACCAATACACTTGACTGAATGATTATGTAAGAATTATGTGAACTAGTTGATGTCTATTTCTTTTGCTTTCGTTTTGATTAGTTTACCTTTTGAGAATTCGTCCATTTCCGGTAAGCAGCTTACTCTTAAGAGTACCTCCCAATTTTTCAGTGACAACCCATTCGTTGACTCTTCCTCCTTCAAATAAGCCAATCAAAGTTCCTTTGGTCCGATGCATAGCCATTACATTTTCGAATAAGACCCAAAAAACCACGAGGTAGAATGATCTACACATATACAAATAATTCATAGTAAATTTTTAATTAAGGTAATGTATAGAGTGAATAAATGTGGACACTATAGGAACTCAGACGTAATTGTACTACTAACCTTGGAGTGGCTATAATACCGAAGAGGGTGATGATAGAAGGACCATATATAGTTGACCAAGTCGGAATTCCGACTTCGGGAAGGAAGACACTTGTAGGAAGGACGACACAATAAAAGAAGAAAGTGAAGAAGTGGACTATGATCTTCCGTAGGAAAAAGAAGCTGTAGATCACGTAAAACTTTTTCCAAATCTTCACTCTCTGTTTATCATAAGTTTTTTTTTTATTAGATTAAGATTACTATAAATCATAAGAAAATTTCAAAGTTACTAAGTGACGTGACCAATGTTGGTGTTGGATCTCGCAAATCGGATCCGGCCCAGAAAAATGGTAGAACAATGAAACGAAGTGGGCCGTTAGCCCGGTTCAGGGGACGAAAAGAGCGGCCCAGTGAAGTTCGGCCCAGCTCGAGTGAAACGTCGGGATCTCGTGAATTAAATGAAAGGCGGGTCGCACGGAATCTGCGAGATCCGGAAGATTCGAAACGGAAACATTGATGAGGGCGAGATCTGCGGCTTGATGAACGACTTCGGTTTCGAATCGTGTAATTATAAATAGAAAACGAAAACCATTGTAAGGGGGGGACAAATTCTTAAGCAATAAACAGAGATATACACTTTACTCTTTCGTTTCTTTTTACGATTGTTATTCGAATTATCAAAGCTAGACAACCCGATACAGATCACAAAATTTGCATTGCGGATTCCGGCATCCACAACCAATCATTTTAGTTTTGTATTTTTGTTGGGTTTCTAGTGGTTCGTTAGAAACTTGTCCCTTTTCAAATTGTAGCTAATGATGAGCCAACAAAAATATAGCTGGCACGTGGGAAATGTCTGTGTGTGAAAATGAAATAAAGTTAGCGGTAAAAGACCTTATTGTGAATAATTTCCAGTGTCATTTTCCGAAAAAGATTGGCTGGACCACAAGACCACCGATGTTGCTGGAATCGAAAGGCCTTAAACTGGCTTGGTAGTTCGCTTTTCACCTACAACCACAATTATTTTTTGTTTTAAAATGATTATAAGCATTTTTATTATTTAGACAACACATGCAAATGCAGGGAGAACGGCCTATTCCCCCTGAACTATGTTGCTTTATCGCCAATATATATATGTATATCGAGAGAAACTGAAACTAATTTTATTATAAGAAACGGGAAAGTTAAAGGAGGAACATAGGATTGGATAATTTGGATATCACAAAAATTGGCATGTAAACAAAAAAATTAAAACACAATATGTGGAGTTTAAAACAAATCTATTCTAACAGAAACACTATAGGTCTATAGCCATATAAAATAAAATTAAAATAAGAAAAATAAAGTATACCTCGAGGTCATTGATGAAGACAAATTTCCAGCCGAGAAGACCAACACGAACGGCCAAGTCCATGTCCTCTACAGTCGTCCGGTCTTTCCATCCTCCGGCTTCTTCCATCGCCCTAATTCTCCAAACTCCCGCAGTTCCTGAATATATAAAATCGCAATATATAATGTAAATGTATATATATTAATTTAATATAACGTTTTATATGTTTACCATTAAAGCCAAAGAAATCATGTCGTGTGGATCCAGATTGTTGCTCTGCCATGAAATGGTAGTTGAGAGACATCTCTTGGATCCTCGTCATTAAGCATGTGTTCACGTTCACTGCGTCACCAAATCATATATATATATATATATATATATATCACGAACCACATCAACAATAAGTTTTATCTCAAACTAATTAATTTTCAATGAGCATACTTGATTATGTACCATTTTGTTTCTAATTTCATTGTCAAATTTTGTTAAATGTTCCACATCATAAATGGAGTTGTATTGTCAATCAATTTTAAGTTGGAAACTCGTAATTCCTATATAAAAAGATATTATAATACTAGAAATGTTTAAAATACATATATATATATATATATGTACATACCAAATCTCCATCGAGCTTGGACGAGAGCAAGCTCAGGGTTGTGAATAAGAAACGGGATAGCGCGTTGGAGGTAATCTGGCTCGGGCTGGAAATCAGCATCAAATATGGCCAGGTAGTCACACAGCTTGACGTAGCTGTGCCTCATGCCGTGCTTAAGAGCTCCAGCCTTGTAGCCATTTCTGTTGTCTCGTCTCTCATACTTTATGTTTACGTCTTTTGATGCCCATTTTGCACACTCCATGCTCACCATTTCCTGAAATTTTATAAGTAGCTAGATGTAAACAATAGACTCAAAATATTCAAAAATGTTATAAGTCTATGTTATTCGTATGTTTTTTTTTTCTCTTCATAAGTTTTGTTAGCGCACTCTGTCCGTAAAGAGTTGATTAAGAACGGACCATGATGGCTGGCTCGGTGGAATCATCTAAAACTTGGATGATTAGGCGGTCCAATGGCCATATTAGTCTGCATGCAGCACCTATAGATAATTCGAAGACCTAGAGATTCAAAACCACGTTCTTAGTATACATTTCACATTAAAGAAGTTTGAAAAAAAAAAAAACTTATATGCTGACATATGAGGCAACATCTAGTGTGAATGCATAGAGAGTAATGAATTTTGACGAATTTTGGTATATGGTGCAATACCTGAAAATTAACTTATTACCTGACTATATAGTAAAATAAAACTTATCTAACTGACAAAGTATTTGAATAGGTGAAATCAGTATACTTAACATCTATTATATATTAATTTCTATAAATATATTAACTTTTTCTTATAGAATATACTTTTGTCATCTTAGTAATAAAGAAGCTTTAGACAAAAATGGCAGACAGTTTGGATAAAATTCTGCTAGTCCACTCAATAATGGTACAAAATTCACCAGTCCACAAAAATGGTGGAGCCAACTTTCTTCACAAAATTATTTTGTTTTAATCTCGTAGGTAGATGTTAATTAAATACTACTACCTCTGTTCTTAAAAAAATGATGTTTTGAGCTTTACACACAAATTAAAAAAAAAAATTATATTTTTAATTATTATTTTATTAGTTTAATAATATTAGTTTTAATTCTTTTCATTCTCTATTGGTCACACACCAAAATAATAATGATATATTTACGGAACATGAATCCTGGTAGAACAAGTAAAAAAATCTAAAACATCAAATAACTAGGAAGAGAGGGAGTAATATACTAAACAATGATTAGTACTGTACGCGGAGACCAGGATTTGTTAATATATACTATTAAATTGTTTACTTGTCACTTAATTCCTTTTACCAACCTCTCTTTCGTTGTACATTGGAACTTGGACGAGGACCATTGGATAGTTTTGATGAGCAAGCTCCATATCTTCTTGCATTGCCTCCCATTTGTAGACTTTCTCAGGTTTTCGGTTAAACAGCTTGACGTAGAGTACTACAAGGTTCATGTAAACACTCTCCATGAAAATCAATAATGATATTACCAAACACATAGCCACCACATACTTGAACACTGGAACTATGAGTACACTCCTTGTTTCTCTCCACATAGTGTTCATGCTTATCCCCACACCATCCACGGATGCTCTAAGAGTTTCTCCATGGAACTTCTCATAATGGATAGACAAAAGAATACAAACTAATCTCAGTATAAGTGTATAAGTACTATATGGCAACTATAGAAGTACTATATGACAATTTTCTGTTGAATTACAATATTGAGAATGAAATTTTGATTATATCTCAAGGGACTATGGTTTCGATTGTTTGAAGTAAAAAAATTTTAGAATTTTTTGGAAAACATATTTGTAAAACGCTAACTTAAAACTCAAATACACACAAAACATTCATAATTATTTGTGTTTTGATGTCAAATATATATATTTGGGAGATGTATGCATTGTAATAAAAGGGGAGAGAGAGATAGAGAAAGAGAGACGATGGCTTACCATTCCCGAGAGGAGGGCAAGAGATAAATCGTGTAGGAAAATGAGAGGCTTCAGAAGCAGAAACATGTCTGTTCTTTTTTGTTTCAGTAATGAATGAGTTTTTAATTGTACTGCCTTAAAGAACTGCATGCTTTCTTTGGTTTATAACTATTTTTTCTATAAGAATATTACAAGGCTACTAGAGTACCAATTATAAAAAAAAAAAAGAATATTAATTACTAGGTGGGAATAATTTAATATAATTAATGCTTAAAGTAACTAACAAAATATAGAAACTATAGATCGGAGAAGAAACACATCCAATATAGACAACATAAAATTTAAGATGGATATTGCTATGAGGTGATCAAAATGTCACATATTCCTAAAGATTAGCATACTTTCTCCAATATTTTCGACGATTCTTAAGTTTCAAAATAATTTTTCTTTTTTTTCTTCTTTCGTCGGCTGAATTAGGACTGATTGTTTAGTTCATTCAACAAAAACCAGGTTTACTATAATTAAATGTTTTTTGTTATTTCTAATATTAAACTAATTAGATAGATAAACAATGTGGCCTCCAAGGCTCCAATAAAAAAATAATTATGGCATTGGGTATTTGCCCTCTCTCCATAATAGGAAACATGGCTACGCCACAACCACCATATACCATCATATGCGACTTGCTAAGATGTATATTTCATGCTCAGCTCTTCTATATTTTTCTTTGTTATTTCTATATCATGTCATTTCTATAAGAGTGTAAAACGTGGGAATAGTATAATATATAAAGTAATTAACAAAGAATCTGAAAAAAAGAAAAAAGAGAATGTTTGTGTTTGTACACATTAAATTGTAAAAAACAATTTTGTGACAACGTACACATATAATTTAAGGAAGAAGGTTTTATTATTTTTATAAGGGGAAATCACATTTTTAACCCTCAAAGTTTCACTGAGTAGCACTTTAAACCTCCAAAAAATTCTACTAACACTATAAACCACCAAAATAATCTTACTAACACTTTCAACCTCCAAGGCTCCAAACTAGCTTTCATGTTTGCACTGTCATAAAAGATGATGGAATAATTAATTTTTGTTGGTTTAATATAAATTTTTTTAATTTAATTTAAATTTTAATTAATTTTATTATTTATTATGATTTTACTATTATTAAGAAAAAAAAATAGATTCCTCCGATACGAAGAATGCTTCGCTTTCTGATTAAACTTCGACATTCTTTGGTTTTTATTATTCTGTTTATCCTTTTCTTGTACCTCATAATCTACATTATTTAGTTTCTATTATTATACCATAAACTTCTCTTGTGCTTAAGTCTATAGTTTCAGAGGTTTAATTTTGAAATTTCATGGTCGAACGATGAGTAAACAATTGCAAAGAAAGTGAAAAAAAATTTTGTCTCTTTTTTAGATTTTTATTAGTTGTAATAAATAATAAAATTAGTTTAAATTTAAATTAAATTAAATAAATGTATATTAAACAAATAGAAATTAAATTTTCCATCATTTTTTATGGCGATACAAACAGCAAAGCTAGTTTGGAGGTTTAAAGTGTTAGTAAAATTATCTTGGTGGTTTATAATGTTAGTGAAATTCTTTCGAGGTTTAAAGTGCTACCCAATAACACTTTGAAGGTTAAAAATGTGTTTTTCCCATTTTTATAATACGTGTTTTATTAAATGTCGAATACGAATCAGAATAAATTACAACTGTCAAATATGGTTTACACTACAAATATGACCCACTTAGCCAACGTTTCAACATCCCTCGGCTTTGGACAAATGCGAGTGTTGCTGTTTTCATTTGAACCACACGAAATGTCAAAGAATAAAAAAAAAACATGAGGAGACTTCTTTTTTTCTTTACTACATACAAGTATATGATTTTAGTGAAAATAACCTAAACTCATATAGTTTTTGCATAATAGACTTTCTTATTATCGTTTTGAAAATGCTATATTACGTAAATATCCTTCCTAAAAATAAACACATAACCACCCAAGCTTGTTAATAGAAAAAAAAAGTTATTTTTGAACAACATCAAAACAATTATTATTTTTTTTTTTTTTTTTTTTTTTTTTTTTTTTTTTTTTTAATCCAACAAAAAGGAAATGAGATTATATGGAACCACGGGTGATGCATTGTTCCAGACTTCCAGAGGTACTCAAATACTATCTTTCTTATAGTTTCTCTGGGTTTTAATTTAAAATGAAAATAACATTCAAGTAAAAAAAAACAGAACTTGGTATATATATGTTTTCTACGTAAACCTTAGATCAGAATGTGCATGTGCGACGTCTACACTTTCCATATGCCTGAAAAAACTTACTATTCTGATATGCCTTATTCTAATTCTATCTTTTTGGATGTTTCTTTAGAGGTTATGTGACATGTGAATGGAATTAAACCAAACTTTGCTCAATGCACTTTTCCGCAATCTTAATTTTGAAGCTTTTTTTTTTTTTTTTTTTATCTTCATATAACTACTAGATTTGTATGTTTCTTTATACTTCCAAGAAGACACATATTAAAATTTTTAATTTGTATAGTGTTATAGAGTTTAATTCGAACCAAGTTTTAGTTTGTCTAAAAATGCATGATTTTTTTGCAAAGATACCATAGTTGTTGTTGTCTGGCATTTTTTACAAGCAACATGAAGAGATTCAAGATCGAAGACCCAAAGAAAAAACATGATGTCGGGATGAGATTTCTTGGATGATTCAAATATTTTTACTTCCAGGATAATTCATAGAAAACCAAGACCAAGAGTTATACATTAAAAATAAATAAAGAGTTATACATTTAATCTGGGTGTAAGAATATTGAAGAAATTATTTCGTCTGAGCATGAGCACGTTTATCTATCATAGTGTAATTAATATACAAACAAAAGATTTAAAGTTTCTCTTTAACAAAAAAAAAAAAACGAAAAAGTGTATCTACAAAATTAAAAATGCTTCGTCCTCTTTCACAAAAAAAAAAAAAAAAAACGCTTCGTCCAGGTTTTGGTTATTACGAAGGATATAAACGTCATATTAAACGAGAAAAAAGTTACTTACAAAGAAATTCAAATTTGGGGTATTTTGCAGAAATCTAAACATATATAAATTATGTTAAAATTTTATTTAAAAACTCATAATTAACCAAAACGAAATAAAATATTGGAAAATGAGAAGATACACAAATTTATTGGGTCAAATAACTAACGAATGTTAAACTGTTAGTTAAATAGCAAAATAATATCAGTAAAATATTGAATGAATATATAACACATTATTTAGTCAATATAACACGCTTTTGCGATATAAATAAATATCCGTTTAATTATTAGATGAATGAAGAAAATACAAAATAATGCGTTCGAATTAACTTGGTTTTGCTCTGTCTGAGATAATGTCCCAACCTGAGATGATGGCAAACTCTCAATTATGTTCTTGAAAGAAAATTAATATTCTTCAACCAACCTACCCATAACATCATAGACTGAATCAGAAATCTCTTTGTAGATATATATGGACAATAATATCTGAACTAAGAAATAATGTATTTGGACAAAAGCACGTAATTATACATATCAAATTACATCATGCTAAACAAATGAAATCACAATTTTATCAACATGATAATGGTTCTTGCACATATATACTTGATTACAAGTAGAAGATTTTCATATGAGTCGTGTTAAGTTCCAACAAAGCCAATTCCGGAGATGAGAAAAGCAGTGGCTTGCATGAAGAGATATAAATATAAAAATGCGTTTCCAAAGGCAAAGTCGTAGCAAGCACAACATAATATGTATATACCCATCATCATCTCCTTCAAATTTACTCTGCAACAAAACATTTTCTTTCACTCATTAGTATCCATAAATATTGTTTTATTTATTCTTCATTCTAACCTTTTTACACACAAAAAGAGTTTTGCTAGTCTAATGCGAATAAATCACTACATTACATACGTATATTTCTTTTTGAATGAATATTAAATTTATTCAACAAAAATATCATTTTAAGAAATAAAAATTTAAAAAATTTAACAAATAACAAATGCTATTAACTAGTTTGAGTCTTCTAAGTCTGGATTACGTCAAAATTTATGTCTTCAATTGAATTGATTTATTTTCTCCTTGTGTTCATCTTCCTACCAATCTCAAAGTTTTGTTCTTGCCCATGTGTTTGTTTCCAACGGAACTTTCTCTCTCTCTTCACTGTAAATAGGTTGTTTGATATGAAATTTGGGAACTTGCTACTGCTTTGAAAGTTGGGAACTTGCTGTTGCTGTTGGTGTTGTATACTTGCAACTTGGGTATTGAAAGTTGGGAACTTACTACTGCTTTGAAAGTTGGGAACTTGCTGTTGCTGTTGGTGTTGTATACTTGCAACTTGGGTATTGAAAGTTGGGAACTTACTACTGCTTTGAAAGTTGGGAACATGCTGTTGTTATTGGTGTTGTATACTTGCAACTTGGGTATTGAAAGTTGGGAACTTGCTGTTGGTGTTGCATAAAAATATGGGTGACCAAAATGAGAATCCGGATTATGAAATGTTAGAGGGTCGACCGGTTAATACTTTAACAGTTGTTGAATTGCGAAAACATCTTTCTGATCGCAATTACTCAACAACAGGCAAAAAAACTTTATTGATTGACCGTTTGAATGAGGCACTTAAAACGATAAGCAGTGAGCAACCAGAAGGCGAGCAACAAGAAGAAATAATGTATTTGGACAAAAGCACGTAATTATACATATCAAATTACATCATGCTAAACAAATGGAATCACAATTTTATCATAATGATAATGGTTCTTGCACATATATACTTGATTACAAGTAGAAGATTTTCATATGAGTCGTGTTAAGTTCCAACAAAGCCAATTCCGGATATGAGAAAAGCAGTGGCTTGCATGAAGAGATATAAATATAAAAATGCGTTTCCAAAGGCAAAGTCGTAGCAAGCACAACATAATATTTATATACCCATCATCATCTCCTTCAAATTTACTCTGCAACAAAACATTTTCTTTCACTCATTAGTATCCATAAATATTGTTTTATTTATTCTTCATTCTAACCTTTTTACACACAAAAAAGAGTTTTGCTAGTCTAATGCGAATAAATCACTACATTACATATGT